TTAGCAAAGGAAGGAACGTCAACGCCATATCTCCTTGCTACCAAAAGTTTGAGAATTAGAGCTAAAAAAGACAAATAAGAAAAGAAACTGTGTCTCCATCGCTCCCCTTAGAACTGTAGTTACAGGGGTTTTAAATTGTTAGTATTATTTTCTGTTTTTAATTTGTTATTGTGGTTTTAATTGATATATAGTTTAATAACTTTTTAAAGGGGGAGGGAAATATATTGTTTATGTTGTATGTTTTCAATGTTGTAAACCACCTGGATTGGTTCGCTAAAGGGCGGTATAAACATAAAATTTATTATTATTATTATTATTATTATTATTATTATTATTATTATTATTATTATTATTATTATTAACAAAGGGTAAGCATTGCACTTAATTACAAAATAAAATCCAGAAATTCAGCTGAATCCCACTGCTATCCCAAAGTAGAGTTGAACATTTAAATGAATGGAACTCATATAAGTGCTTATCTGTTACATTGCTATTGATGCTACAAGTCTGCTGTAATGGAAACTAAAAACTGGGTTCAAGCCAGAAGACAAGATGTATCAAGAACAATGGTTGTCAAACACCGGACCTCCAGATGTTTGGGACTTCAGTCCCCAGAATTCCTACTATTGGCCATGCTGTTTAGCATATCTGGGAACTGAAGTCCAAAACCCCTGGAAGACTGAACTATGAGAATCACTCATGTTGGATAATTAAAACATGAACAAAAACTCACTGGAGGATTCTGGGAGTCATGGTTCTTTAAAAGGAACTTTTCTAAAGTCCAGTCTCATTAGCACCAAAACAGGAAGCAATTTTTATAATGAAAATCTGGATGAACTGCTTGGGAGCAAGCCCCATTGAACACAGTTCCTTACTTCTGGGTAGACTATCACCAGACTGCTTCCAAACTAAATGTCTTCTGAATCAGGCTGTACTTTGTGAGATCTTTTAAACAAGAGGTGTATCCACACTGCAGAAATAAAGCAGTTTGACACCACTTTTACTACCAAATCCTGGGATCTTTAGTTTGGTGAAGCACTAGAGCTCTCTGACAGACCAGGCTGAATACATAAGCAAACTACAAATCCCAGGAAGCCACAGGATGGAGCCTAACTCATGTCATGGAGCCTAACTGGCATGACAGCTAGGTTGGTGTCAAACAGCTTTATTTCTCCAATGTGGATACATCCTAAGATATGTTTTTTTCCCCCTTTCCTTTTTTCTCTTTTGAACTTGTTACATTATAAGACTTCATATGCTCAGCCAAGTGCATATTGAGAGTCAGGACAGTCGAATTCGCTAGTTTAACTGGCAGGAAGGTCTCATAGCCTTTCCTTAGTGTGTGCCAACTCAACCAGCAGACACCGTTAATTCCTACCCTCCAAACTTCTCCCTTCTCTGAAAAGCTTTTGCTTTATCTTCTAGGCAATGTAACTGCAGCATGTGTCTAAGCATGTGCATCATCAATAATTTGCAGAGTGCAATGCTGTTGTGTGTTTTGGTGTATTCTGGCAAGACTATAAGGCAGAACCTAAAGCCTTTGCTCAACAGTATGAGCAGATATTCCCCAAACCCAACAGTGATGGACCACAATAACAACAACGAGAACTACTTCTTCTATCCATTTCATAGTTATTGTGTGCCTTCAAATTGTTTCCAGCTCATGATAACCTTAAGGCAACCCTATCATGGGATTTTCTTGACACGATTTGTTCCGGGGGGGGGGTTGCCTTTCCCTTCTCTGAGGGAACCCACTGGGTTGCCATGGCTGAGTGGGAATTCGAACCCTGGTCCCCACCACTACTGCACACTGCACCTTATTATATAAGGAATAGATATGAACCCACTTCTTCCCTACAGTACAGAGTGGTATTAAAGCCTCAGGTTATAAAGCATATTTATACAGTTGTGGGAGTGGGATGGAATGTAATAGTATCCAAAAAGATGCAAATCGTGTCCCTAAACTTGGAGGTTTCTTGATCCTATTACATCCTGTCCCACGCCCACAACTGTATAAAGATGCTTTATATCCACAAAAGCTCATGCTAAAATAATAACCAGTTAGTCTTAAAGATGCTGTTGCATTCCTTCCCCCTTTTTATACTGCAAGAAACTAACACGGCTGCTTCTTTGAAATCTTCTGGACTACAACTCCCAGAATCCTCCATCCAAGGTCATAACATCTGGGGAAGTCTGGGAGCTATAGTCCAGAAAAGTCAGACTCCCAAACGGTGACGAAGGCACATCTATTTGCTTTCTCCATATTGCACCTGATGGTACAAATGTCTCTCCCATACCACCCCCTTCAATTGAAATTTCAAAGCCCCAAATGCCTTTCTTCTTTCTTTCCTGCAAAATTACTGGGCAAGCCAATTGTAATTAAAATCAACACGACAAGGCCTGGTTCTCAATCATTTCTTATTGACTGCAACGTTTTACATATTTAAAAAACCACAGACAAACACATACAGAAGGATATTTGCCAGCTAGCCGTGAATTCACCATTTTTGTCAGCACAACCCAGTCTTTGGGGTCAGGTTACTCCAATGAATTAAATTAAAGCTAATTTCTTTCATCAGATCCCACTTTCCCTTTCAGATCGCCACTTGGTAGAATTAAGAAAGCTTTTAAAGACCGGATTAAACCCTCTTTTCCACATCAGCTTTTGAAAAAAAACAGATTCCAGGTATAGAAATCTCAGTAATGACTTGGAGGGTCTAATTCTCCAGAACAGTACCACTGATCCTCCAAATGTTTTGGATCCCAACACCCAGGATTCCCAGGCACTGAGCCAGGGCAGTTAAAGCGGTCTCAAACTGGATTATTTCTGCAGTGTGTTTTGGATCCGAGTTAACTTGAAGGCACAGAACCATTTGAATCAGTGTCTTGTATTGGTCTGGGTTTTGGATTAGGACTCCAGGAGACCAGGGTTCAAATCCCCACTTAGCCACAGAAGCCCATTTAGTGATCCTGGGCAAGTCACACTCTCTCAGCCTTAAAGGAAGGCAACAGCAAACCTCCACTGAATCAATCATGCCCAGAAAGTTCTTGGATAGAGTAGTCATAGGTAAGAATCAACCTGAAGGAACACAGCAACAGATAAAGAGGAATGGCAACACTAACATCTGTGCAAAAGCAAAGTTCCAAGAATTTAGGGAAATGCGCAAGGACTTTCTTTTCATAAATATTTTAACAGATTATGATCAGGTGCACTTGTGGAAAAAGGACAAATTTTGTAGCAACTTGGAACCCATTTCCAATGGAGTTTCAAGAACCAAATGTTGAAGATGGCTGTCTGACTAATCAATTGGATTTTGAGCACCACTGATAGTAATATATAATAGAAATAAAGCAACTATCAATAGACATTACATATGGAGAGATGGCCAGCATGGTGTAATGGTTTGAGTGTTGGACTAGGACCCTGGGGAGACCAGGGTTCGAATCCCGGCTTGGCCATGGAAACCCACTGCGTGACTTTGGGCAAGTCACACTCTCTCAGCCTCAAAGGATGGCAATGGCAAGCCCCCTCTGAAGAAACTTGCCAAGAAAATCCTATGATCGGTTCTCCTTAGGGTCACCATAAGTCAGAAACAACTTGAAGGCACACAACAACAATAACAACAGATGAATGGATAGATATAGATAGATAGATAGATAGATAGATGGATAGATAGATAGATAGATAATTTGAAGGTGAGTTGATAATGTATATATGTGACTGCCCTTGACATATTGTTATTATTATATTGTTAATTTGGGGGATGATTGTGTGGTAGGGATTGGTTTGTTAATGTTGAATTCTAAAAAGAAATAAAACTAATAACAAGGGGGGGGGG